ATTTATGTGTTATTTTCGACAGCTAATAAAAATTGACGCAGAAATATGTCAAATATTTCAGTTATAAATGAATTTCAACTTATCTCGAGTCCCTGCCAGCACATGGCCCCTTCATAGGCGGGGCTGGAAGAGGCTGGGTGGGGCCACAGCCCCCTCTGGTTTGAAGCATTTTGAAGCGTATTTGCATCAAAAGATATGTTTCAAAAGCACCACTCATTGTACCTTCTTTGGCATTAAAAGGAGCTTATTTATCAAAATTGGCTTATAAATCATGGAGAAAGCATCCGTTTACGCCCACTGAATGTAGCTGCGGATCAGCACAGTATACTGAGGTTTTGTTTAAGTCCCTCATTGCGTAAACTCTCATTTGTCCATCGGATTAGAATCTGTGTCTGTTATTTATTCGTATATTTGACAATCGATTGCAGATAATATCGTGAGTCAGCCAATGCTGTTTTCATGCTCTTGATAGTTGTCTTAGTTCATTTATGTATATTATGCTAATTGTTTAGGTATCTAATCACCAGCCAGTTCAAGTAGTCGAGTTGTATGTCTATGTATGTATATTTAGCCTTGGTGTTCGTAGCCCACTTATACAAATTGTTTATCGTTTGTTACTGAATATCGAAAGCAATTATGAAGCGTAATTACTCTGGCTATCACTGAAGCACCAGCCGTCGAAGCGGGGACTTTTGGAACGCACAACTGAATGGCATAACATATGTTGCATTCCATGTATATACTGGCACTGACATTTATTATGATTGTACATATTTTCCAATTCCTTTTTCGTTTATACAATATATAACTCATTCACATGAATTTGCGTCGCGTGTATTTGATATTGGCTGTCGATTAGTGGGCACGTGTACGGCGGGGTCACTGCGAGTACTATGCAATACCGTACGTAGTACTCTACGTACGCAGGGTGGCTTCCGACGTGTAACTTGTGGGAACAGTGAGGCACTGCGTCTAAGGGGACTCGGTATACAGGACGATATTTTAAAGTGGTGCCAAAAGTGGGCGGGGATGTGGCGTCCCCTGCGCATTTTTTTTTCGCTGGCGGGGCTAGGCGGGGCTATCGCGTTGCATGCCCCGCCACAGCCCCCTCCGCAGCCCCGCCTAGCCCCCTCATGGCCCCCTCTAGCCCCGCCATTATTGAGGGGGCCAGGCGAGGCTAGGCGGGGCTGGTGCTGGCAGGGGTCTAAGGATTTTGAAAGGTTGTGCACAAACGGGCTTCATTAGAAACTCCTGTTTTAAATTGGCTGCAAAATCCACTTCTATCACTCCTACCCTCATTTCGACCACAAGCGGCCTGCCGACGCTAACGACGGAAGCCTCAGTATTCACCGTCTACAAGTAGTTTGGTCGTACCTCCCCTCCCCAATCCTCGGCTGAATCCGAAGCGAACTTTGACTGATTGCGTCTGGGTTCCTCACGTCTTGCCACTTTTTACGCGAATGGTCTCATCCGGTGTATAAATTCTGCCCTGAAGATGTCCGTTTGAATCCCTTATACAAAACCGCATGCAGGTCAGTCCTGCCTGACCCTCGCAATCGACCCCTCAAGTCCGACATTTATTTCTGCCCTGACTATGTCCGTTTAGAATCCGTTATACACTGCTGCGTGCATGCCGGTCCTGCCGCAGTTTTGTCCTTTCATAAGGGACAGTTTTTTCTCCTTTAAGTTAATCCAATCATGTTCTTTTCTACAGTGGAGTTTTGTTCACTCCTCGCTCATTATTTTTATTAACGGACTACTAATTCAGAAACTATGAAGTGTATCTTGTACAGATTCTGTCTACCTCGTTTGAAATTAATCTGAAAAAATATTTTTACTTACTTTGAAGGGACCCGTATGGGTCTTTTATAAAATTATTTCATTTATTTAGTGGTCTATTCTATTTGAGCCTTTTGGAGTCGCCTAGAAATCCTGAAAATAGAGACGAGAGCTGATGCTCAAAACTTGGACTAGAGAACGCCTCCTGGATGCTGTCGATGCTCTTTCAGGCTCCTCGCTTCTCCACCTCCCTGACTTGTCTAGGATCGTCCCCAGATTGACCCGGCCTCGTCAAAGGTTTATCAAGAATTTTCGTTCGTCCGGACTTCGTCCAAATTCCTATTCTTCCGCCACGTATAAATACTCCCCAATCCTCCCTTAGGACATCGTCTGCGTTCTTTCGTTTGGGCTGGTCAATACGATGAAGGAGGGATTTGACGCATAACTCACTTAGGTCAGTTGAAGTTGAGGATAACACGCACGAGGTAGCATGAAGCACTGGGGATAAGTCCTGTCTTAAGAAGAGCTGAACAGGGTTGTTAGACACGTCACTATTCTCATTCAAGCAAGAAGAGGGGACGTTAAGCGGATACGAAATGTATATGCTAGAAACAGGGAGTTAAGTGAATTGGAAGACGATAAACGATACAAGGGTGTGTGAGGGTGACAGAAGGAGGCAATGTTCCGTCTGGGTGGGTAGGCGGCGCCAACATAGCTGATTAATAACCGGTGGGAAATGCAATGCTGGGGGCAGCTGCGGGAGAGGGCCGTGGAAGATGTCGACAGAGAGCGTGAATGTGTTGGATAATTGGACGAAAGGTGTGGCGAGGTAGTCGGTGGATATGTGAGGGAAGGGTGCCGGCTATTTTCACAGACACGCGGTCTCATCGTCTTCACTCTGGATTCGCGTCAATTGTTTGCTGCATTCAAATGACCCAACTCACTAATTCGGACGTTAAACACACACGTCCGATATTATTGCGTGCAAGCAACATGCTACCTACCTGCCAGCAGCAGCCCGCCGAACCCCCTAAAACCCCGCGAGGCTTCAAGTGGCTCCCAGAGCGAGCCATGCGGTAAATGCTTTGGACCAGCACGGGGGTCACATTGGATTCTGACAGACGTCATATAAAATGCACACCTATAACAGATGCCGGCAAGGATCTAGGGAAGATCTCCAAGTGTTTACGGCGCACGAAGGACGAGTACTATACGGGTTTAAGTAGGTCGTGTTTTAATCGATACTCGCCCAAACATGGTCGTACATCGTAGATTTGCACACTCGTTTGGGAGGCTGTCATCTGACTTTCCGTTGTATAACCCACCATGGCTTTAGCTCAGAGAGTTGAAAACGGCCGTCGTGCTTTACTTCTTTTTTGCGGATCATGTCCTTCGTTTTAGCATTGCCTACCATTGGCTGTGTTACGGCACGTATGGCAGCATCGTGTGAATCGGGTCGCTTATCGTAGACTCCTTCACATACGACTGGGAAGCTATCATCTGACTTCTCGTTACATAACCAACCATGACATCATGCGGTCACATTGGATTCTGGCAGACGTTATTTGAAATGCACCCCTATAACAAATTACGGTAAGGATCTAGTGAGGATCCCTTGCTATTTACGACGTACAGAGAACGCCTAATATACGTGTTTAAGTAGGTTGTGTTTTACTATATACTCTCCCAAACATGGTCGTTCATCATAGACTTGCCAATTCGCACACACGGTAGGCTAGGAGAGCGTGTTAAACATGTCGGTCTGGTTTTGCGATAACGAGAACCCTCCTCACAACGGAATAAGCAGACGAGGAAGTAGTGCTCCTTCAACTTCATCACAGTGGCTAGATCAAACTGAGGTGTACCTGGGGAAGGTAGCTATTTTTGCTCGAATCTGTCGGATCTCATACGGGACGAAAGCGGTACTGTTTCTCGATGCTGGCACTTTTTGTCGAGCAACTTATTTTTTCAACTTTTCACGAAAATGCACACATTGAATAAGGATCAAGACAGACAGGCGCTGACGGATTGTCGTTATTTTGGGGGAGGGGCGCGCACATAATGAAACCCGCGACTACCACGCACTTGACAAGATGGTTAGAGCCAACGCCAACGCAAGTCCTTGAATGGATGCGTTAGGTCTGACCACGATTCCTGTCAAAATCTCCTAAGTTCCAGCCCAGAAGCTGCCTGGGACGCCTTGCTTCACAACAAACACTGAATCGCACAAAATACCAAGCGCTGCGCAACGTGGCACCTCCATCCGTCCAAGATATGTCCTAGCAACCGGGATCTGCGCCTGATGTAGCCTGGTGGTAAGACGCGACAACTCGACATGCCTCGTCAGGGACCCTCGCGAATCAAGTCAGCAATCCATACGCACAGGTTTGGGACAACTTTGAGAGGCAAACATGGAGATGGAGTTTCATCGACAATGGCAGCAAAGCTGGGGTCGCCGGTTTTCATTAGCCAGTTATATCGAGACCTGAAAGTTGCCTGCGGGCCCGGCTAGGGATTACGCTCAGTGTTCTGTCAATTGAATCCAATGTGGAGGGGGGGGGGGGGGGCCTACCGTACCATGCAAGTGTGGTTTATGGACCTTTCTTAACTGCAGGGCGGAATGAAGGCCTTCCGCTTTAAGCAGAATTTCTATTAATGACAGATAATCAGTAATCGGAAAGTACCGTCGACACTAGGGAGTTCAGACCGGACTAATCATCCACAACCGGATTGAGAAGGTCTGACACTTGCACTAGTTTGCCAGTGGAGTCAAAACTCACGTTCAGCCAACAGCAAAGTTTAAAACGACCTTCAAAAACTACTCCACTATCTAAGGCAGGTCTACTGAACTCGAAGTCCAAACAAGCTGACGAACAGTGTCCGCAGGTGTCTGCATAAATTTATTCGTTCTGTCAATATCACTGCCCACGCCGTTCCCGTTCAGAAAGACAGGCTAAAGGATCAATAAATCCAGTATAAATCAGTTGTTGGCGGGTCGAGGAGATTATTCTGTAAAAGGCTAGTCCCGGGTAACTGTCCTACGGCATCTTCAGAGAGCGATCCAGTAAAAAATCTGAATAAAGGAGAGACCGAATATACTTATTGCTAAAAACCACGAGCATAAACGAGGCAAGGAAGCAGAAGGTAACTTAACAGATGAAAGTTCAGCCAGAGGGGGTTATGCGCAGAGGTGTTAAGAAAGTAGACGAATCCAACTAGCTCTACGAGTCCACAGCTTTTGGAACACTAATGCCCTTGATCAAGACGAACTTGCTCTTTTTGGCGTCCACAATGAACTTGCGGTCAAGTTGAAATTCATAGTCAAAGGTGTGCGTTGTGTCCACACGCTCACCGTCCGGTGCTTCATAGAGGTCTGTCGGTAGGGGCGGAGTGGCATAAGGACCCGCAAAGCGGATTGGCAGATCACCGTTCGCGCCTAAACAGGGTTGAATGGCTGCCAGGTAGAGACGGGGCGAAGTGTCGGATAGGAGGCGCAGGGCTCGCTTCTGGGCTGCCTGCACTGAGGCAAGTTTGGCTCGCTCTTGTCGCACCAGGGACCACTGATAGCAAGTCCAGTCCTTCATGAGGGTCGCTCGGCTGTCCGCCTCTGCGTCAGATAATTCAACTGGAGGTCGTCGACGTTCACTAGTGGGGAGAGAGAAAGAGGTGAAGGGGTGCGTAACTGACGACCAGAATAACCTGTTGCGAGATGGATAAAATGTTCACTCACTAGGCACAGTCGGGGAATATTCTGTTTCCCGATTGTCACTTGAATCCAATCATTTACGAAGCGTCATTTAACGGCATTGTTATGATCCTAAGTCTTCCGTTTAGCCATCTCCATTTTTTTAATAAAAATATATTCGATAGGTTTTAACCGCTTCTGACAATTTCCAATTGGTCGTTTCAGTGGGATGGGTAGTCTGAGCAGTTTTCTGGGTCAGTGGGAATAACTGCTGGAGGCTTCTGACAGCTTCCGAAGGGAAAGCAACATTCAAATTACAGCGCGCTGCGAATGCAGGGGAACCTGGAATGCGTTTAAAGGACAGCATACGCGTACTCGCTCTAATAGAAAGGATGAAATCGAAAGCATTAGTGGCTGTGGGAGATGTGATGTCAGGTCGGATTTAGGGACCCCTTTGGAGACTCACAAAAACAGTGCCAGTGTTTCTAACAAATGAAGTATTTTGCTTGTCTGTAGAGGTTCGATAATCGTTCTGCAGCAGTTTGATATTGCCGTTCCCAACTTTTGATATACCTCCGTTGCTTGTGACAAATTGGCAGTTTCAAATAAACTGAACTGATTAGGAGTGATGAAGATGGCTCGACGGTGGCTCATCAGTGCCTCGTAATGCACGACGGTCAAAATTTGAGTGTCTGGAGCACTCAGTTCGCCTTCCGTCCACCGAAAGTCAAGATACTGATGGGCTGAAAAGAGTGGGATAATCAGCCAGCCAAAGCCACACCTACGGTAGCGAGTAGTCGGCGATGTAACCTAATGTTTAGAGCATCATTCGAGATGAATCAACCAGAGGAACGGTGATGATACACAACCGAGAGCTCACCCATAGAGGAAGATTGAAAGGACAAGTTCCAAAGCATTAATTATTGTGGGAGTCATAATACCACAGATCGGATCCCCTTTGAGACTTATAAAAGGATGGTAGATTGCATTAACTTGGACGACGATAAACCTTCCTTGAATTTGCTTAGTAGTAAAGTGGCTAAAAAATACTTGCTTCGGTCGCGCCCTCCTGTAGAAGCACACATTCGGATGCCTGAAAGAGCTATAAGTAGTATAATGTTATGGAAATTTCGACATATGGTGGATATAAATTAACTGCTATTGTTTTGCTATACGTAGGAGTGACGAAGATTGCTACTAATCTACATTATGCAGCAGGAATTGCAAGAAATTAGTGATGCACTTTTAAGCGCGCACAGGCCGTGACGCGGTGGCCGAGTGGTTAAGGCGATGGACTGCTAATCCATTGGGGTTTCCCCGCGTGAGTTCGAATCTCACCTGCGTCGGAATTTTTACACAAATTTTTGATACAAAACAACGTTGTCTTGAGTACTAGTGCTCTCAGTAACAATACGATATCCTCCTGATGTCAAAATTTCGACATGGGTATGTGCAGCCGATGGCGTATTTTAACGCCATCTTTGATTCCTCTGCCAGTTTATTAACAATCGGACTTGTGCCGAATTGGCGTAGTTCGGAATTGGTGACATTTTCCAGATTACATCGCGTGCTAGATTAGTTGAAGATGGTGCGAATACAATGAGTGGAATATGGTTTTCCAAAATGCAAACTAAGAGTCTAGCCTCACACTCTAACCACACTTTACGATCCCAACAATCCGGGCTAGCCTCCGATGCTAGTCATAGTATAGTGTCCTGGGAACTTGGTGAAGGAACAGTCTGAACTAAGAGTCTAGCCTCATACTCTAACCACACTTTACGATCCCAACAATCCGGGCTAGCCTCCGATGCTAGTCATAGTATAGTGTCCTGGGAACTTGGTGAAGGAACAGTCTGGGAATCAATAGGGTCTGAGTATAACAGTCCAGGCTATGCCCCCCCCCTCCTCCTCCATAATTTAACTACCAACAAGCCTATCCTTGTTCTAACTCCCCCTGCATTCCAATTTACGACAATTTTATCTCCGCATACTTAAGGTCTCATGCTCAGCATTCACTTGCTTACTCCCCGTACTTCAATAACTCTAGACAAGCTGGTGCTCTCTCTTCAAGCATCATTTATCCACAGCTTACATATCCGCTTCCGTTTTTTTTTTCTAAATACCGTCGACAATAGCCTAGATATTATATTACTGAATGCCAGGTCTGTTATAAACAACATGGCCAAAATCGGAGCCATTGCTCTCGAAATAACGCCTGATATTATATGCATAATAGAATGTTGGGCCCATTCTCTAATTCCTGACTTTGTGCTTCTTATAGATAACTCCGATTTTTGCTGTCAAGACCGCACGCCTAGGATCGGGGGTGGTAGTCTTCTTTATCTTAAATCCTACCTAAAGCACTCTCCCTATTACCTGGATGTCACGCGAAACTTCCGTTTTACGTCTGTTATTCTCTCGCCGCAAAGAAAGGCAATTAATGGCTGTATCTACAATCCCCCAAACTCTTCAGTCACTGATGATTCACAACTCTGCAAAATCTTTAAATTAATTTCGGAAGCTGCTTTCGATGTTAAAATAATCACGGGGGATTTTAACCTTCCTGAAATAGACTGGGTTTCCGATATCTGTCAACCTGCATTCCAGCCCTTCCAGGATATTGCCAATTTTTTTGACTGGTTCCAACTGCTGCGCTTTCCAACAAAAAATAATCACATTTTAGATCTACTCTTTGCCAATGACATTGCCCCTCCATTTGTTGCTTTAAAAAAAGAACCTCTTTGATAGTGATCAGGTATTAATTCTTTGTTGCTTACCGCCTGCCATTTCAAAAAAACCACCACAGTTCAGACTTACCCAAACTACGATTGCGTCGATAACGACTGAATAAATAAACATATTAGATCATTGGATGGTGTGGCTTTCTCTCCCGTAACGATGCAACCATTCTTTGTGATGTCGTCTCCAATATTTCCAAGGACATCCTAGAGTTTGTACCGCGTACATATCTCAAGTCTAATGCTTCAGATTCCTTTGTTCCTCATTTTTTTGCAACAGAGTAAAAAGTTGAGACAGCAGCTGCGTGACCTATCCACTAGTTCTTTATCCGTTCATCTTAGAATCACAGAGATTTTTGAAATGGCCTCAAGAATGCGCCAAGCGCGCGACAGTCAAAGAGAATCACTTGCCCCCAGTGACTCGAACCCTCGCAAATCCGTCGCTAACATCTTCCGTCATCGATCCTACTCTAAGTGTGGTCACGAACTTCCAATCCAGCTAAATGATAACAAAATCCTTCTAATCGATGACACTGACAAGACGGAGTTGTTTAGTGCATTCTTTGCAAAACACATCAATACTGCGTCCGAACCAGTCCCCTTCTTTCGTTCACTTTCAGATAGGATACTGAGTACAATCGATGTCTCCTCAGATCTCATTATAAAAACACATAAGCCGCTTGGAAAACGCACACTGCTTGGAAACGAACAGGATTACAAATTCGATTATTAAACAAACATCTAACCTTCCCATATTGTTTAGTCATTTATTCTTGGTTTATATTTCAAAGGGATTCTTTCCTGCAACACGGGAGGCTTCAATCCTCATTCCTGTCTTCAAGTATGGATCCCGGTCCGATGTAAATAACTATCGGGGCGTGCACAAAACACTGTCTCCAGCAAAACTTCTTGAAAGGATTATTTTTAAATAAAATTCTCGACTTCTGTCTAGCCGATCAGCTTCTGAGCTCTAGTCCGTATGGATTTTTACCTGAACGATACTGCGAAACTTGCCACTTTACATTTCCTAACCCAATCACTTTTCTTCGTAATGAACAGAAGTCAGTGGTAGTTATCTATTTTGATCTCAGCAAAGTCTTCGACAAGTAGCCCCATAGACGTCTTTTGGTAAAATTGGAAGCTCTCGGCATCCGACCGCCTCTACTTGACTTCATCAGGTCCTATCTATCCAATGGATATCAGAAAGCCATGGTCGGTAATAGCTACTCGATACCTCACTCGATTACGAGTGGTGGACGTCTAGGCACTATTCTGGGTCCGCTAATCTTCCTTATTTACATCAATGACATCTCGACTAAACTCAGAAATTCTCAAACTTATTTATGCCGATGACCTCAAATGTGTTTACTCATATTCTAAGGACACTGTTAGTGTTTGCTGAAGCAGATGAGGTTCAATATGGCAGATGGAATTTTCATCATCCAAGTGTAGTTTCATGTCTTTTGGTGCTGCCAACCTTCCCGGTCTCTTTATTTTTCAGAATAACCAACTTTCAGAAGGCTTCACCATAAAGTGCCTGGGTTTAAGTTATACAAATAAACTTATTTTATCACCTCATACAGAGCGAATCTCAGCCAAGGCCGCACAGATATGTGGGTTCATATTGTTTGAATTCTCCTTCCAGAAATGAAGCGAAGACCTTATCAAATGTTTGTTCTTCCAGTCCTCAAACACTGCTGTCCTTTCTTTGATTTAATGGACACCTGTGACCGCTATAAAATAGACAATGTTCCGAGGGTTTTCATCCGGAAACTGTGTTCTCAAGCTTCGTCCGGTATTTCTTATACTCAGAGATGTCAGCTGGCGAACATTAAGTTTTTGTTGGTCAGAAGACTCGAAGCTGGCCTTTGCTTCCTTTTTCACACTTACTCTAGCTCCAATCTTCCGCACATTGACACTCTCATTTCGAGAGATCGGTCTTATGCCACGCGCAACTCCGGCATGGTGATTCCGCCGCCTCTTTGTACTACATCTAAGCGCTCCCTCTTTTTTGCTTCCAAATATGCCTTTCTATGGAATAATCTGTCGCCAGAAATTAGGTAATCGTTAAGTTATCGGTATTCAAAAAGAAATTACGTAAACACCTTACACCGGAATGTAGAAAGACACTTTTAACGGTCTCATTCGCGAACACTCAGTTTCTTGAATAAAAGAAGGGTCCTCCTAGAATTTAGTGACAGATCAAGTGGTAACCCTCAATCATACCATTAGAAACTCCTGTTTTAAATTAGTTGTAAAATCCACTTCTATCACTCCCACCCTCATTTCGACCACAAGCAGCCTGCCGACGCTAACGGTGGAAGCCTCAGTATTCACCGTCTACTAGTAGTTTGGTCGTACCTCCCCTCCCCAATTGTCGGCTGAATCCGAAGCGAACTTTGACTGATCGCGTCTGGGTTCCTCTCGCGAATGGTCTAATCCGGTGTATAAATTCTGCCCTGAAGATGTCCGTTTGAATCCCTTATACAAAAGCGCATGCAGGTCAGTCCTGCCTGACCCGCGTAATTGACCCCTCAAGGCCGACATTTATTTCTGCCCTGACAATGTCCGTTTAGAATCCGTTATACATTGCTGCGTGCATGCCGGTCCTGCCGCAGGTTTGTCCTTTCGTAAGCGACAGTTTTTTCTCCTTTAAGTTAATCCAATCCTGTTCTATTCTACAGTGGAGTTTTGTTCACTCCTCGCTCATCATTTTTATTGACGAAGTACTAATTCAGAAACTTTCAATGGCATGTTTTAGAGAATCTGCCTACCCCGTCAAAAATTAATTTGTAAATTAATTTTTACTTGCTTTAAAGGGACCCCGATGGAACTTCAATAAAATAATTTTATATATTTAGTGGTCTATTACATTAGATCCTTTCGGAGTCGCCTAGAAATCCTGAAAATAGGGACTGGAGAACGCCTCTCGGATGTCATCGATGCTCTCCCAGGATCCTCGCTTCTACATCTCTCTGACCCATCGAGGATAGTCCGCAGATTGACCCGTCATAGCCAAAAGACTTTCCCTTAATATCTCTCGTCTGGAATTCGCCCAAATTCCTATTCCTCCGCCACGCATAAATACTCACCAATCCTCCCTTAGGACATCGTCTGCTTACTTAAATTTAGGCTGGTCACTACGATGAGGAGGGATTTGACGCATAAATCAATAAGGTCAGTTGTAGTTGAGGGTAACAGGCACGAAGTAATGTGAGGCAATGGGGAGAAGTCCAATCGTAAGAAGAGCTAAACACTGTTTTTAGGCGCGTCATCATTCTTATCCAAGCATGAAGACGGAGACGTTAAGCGGATGCAATATATATATATATATATATATATATATATATATATATATACATCAATATGCGTAAAGACTACAGGTCCAGATATATTACCGTGTTTGCTTCCCCCGAGGAAGATGAAGAAGAGAAGGCGATTTCATGGACCAGAGTGTATTCAAACTGACGTTTCGGAAACACTCTCGTTTCCATCATCAGAGTCGGTCGCTGGCGTTTCCTGCTGGCCCTGATTTGCTCAGCCTTGCCGCCTGCCTCGTATTATAACCGTGCCCGGCGCACGCACGTCGGTTAGCGTGTTTTCCGTTGGCTGATTGTGGCATCTCTGATCCCGGCCGCTGGCGGACTGGCGTGCCTTGTGTCTCCCTCATGCCTGGCGTGGTTGCCGCTGCGTCGGTATGCTCGTTGGCCTCCCCCTCGTCAGACGGCGGGCTGATCGATTTCCGCTCTTCAGGCATGGTCTTTCCGCCCTCGCGAGTACGACCGTGAGATAGCGTGCCACGCCGGTCACGTGACTTTCGGTCAGCGCCTTCCCTCTCCGCCAGCGTCGGTAGCCGACCCCGTGTGATTCCTTTCACCCGTGCCATTGGCCTTGCCTGGACTGACTCGAGCCTAGCGCGAGGCGCATGGTAGGCGGGATGCAGGTCTATGGCTCGGTTGAGGGTGCCAGTTGAGGACCAATTTTCCAGCATCAGTCTGGCCATTTTGTCATTGGCTCGAACAACAACCCGCGTTTTCTCGGAAGCGAAATTGTGGTTTCGTTCCAGTGTGTGGCTATACACCAAAGACAGCTTATCCTTGCGGTTAATTGCAAGCTGATGCTCATGCAATCTTGTGCCGAGGCGTTTCCCCGTTTCACCAACATACCTTGCATCACAATTGGAAGACGGTAAACTATACAAGGGCAGGTAAGGTTAACACGAGGAAGCAATGTTCCGTCTGGGTGGGGAGGCGATGCCAACATGCCAGCGTAATGACCGGTGGGAAATGCAGTGTTGGGGGCGGCTGCGGGAGAGGGCCGTGGAAGGTGTCGACATAGAGCTTGAATGGTTGGACAATACGACGAAAGGTGTGGCGAGGTAGTCTGTGGATATGCGAGGGGAGGGTACCGGCTATTTTCACTGACCCGCGGTTACATCATCTTCACTCGGGATCCGCGTCTGACTTTCGCTTCATTCAAGTGGCCCAACTCAATAATTAGGGCGGTAAACGCGCACGCCCGATATAATTGCGTGTGTGCAATATGTTGTCTCCCTGCCATCCCCAGCCCCGCCGAACCCCCCTAAAACCCCGCGGGGCTTCAGGTGGCCCCCAAAGCGGGCCACGCGGTAAATGCGCTGGACAAGCACTGGGGTCACATTGGATTCTGACAGACGTCATATAAAATGCACACCTATAACAGATGCCGGCAAGGATCTAGGGAAGATCTCCAAGTGTTTACGGCGCACGAAGGACGAGTACTATACGGGTTTAAGTAGGTCGTGTTTTAATCGATACTCGCCCAAACATGGTCGTACATCGTAGATTTGCACACTCGTTTGGGATGCTGTCATCTGACTTTCCATTGTATAAACCACCATGGCCTTAGCTCAGAGAGTTGAAAACGGCCGTCGTGCTTTACTTCTTTTTTGCGGATCATTTCCTTCGTTTTAGCATTGCCTACCATTGGCTGTGTTACGGAACGTAGGGCAGCATCGTGTGAATCGGGTCGCTTATCGAAGACTCCTTCACATACGACCGGGAAGCTATCATCTGACTTCTCGTTACATAACCAACCATGACATCAGCTCAGAGAGTGGAGAGGCGACCGCGGTGCCTTACTGATCTTCAACTTAGCATAACCTACCATCGGCAGCGCTGTGATAATTCAGTCAGCATCCTGTCGAATGGGTCGCTCATCGGTGCTGTGGTTGATTTTGAGCAATTCTTTTGGCTTCCGCCGGGGATAACCTATATTATTTGGAAAAAGATTGGGTATTGCGAAGACACGACACTGGCAGATAATGCCTCCGGATCTTCATTTACTCGGAATTAACTACCAAAATATTTCCAAGTCTACCGCATTCAAAAAACTAATACCACCCAGACGAAGTGACGCAGATCACTGATAACTTACGTCCGTGGGCATCCAATCTGAAGACCGAGTTGGTCTGATATCGTCGGTATAGCGCTCATGAAAATCGCAAAACCGTTTATAAAATTTGATTGCGATGGGCTCCCTCACCTATCTTCGTTCATTCGCACTGGTTGGATTTGCCTTGGTTACCTGTTACGATGCATACTACTGATTAGCGGTCGACTTAAGGCGGCTGTGGCCACTTGGTGATACTTGGGGGCCTTCACTAGATCCTTTCCCAGAACCAAACACTAAGGGGGCAGTGGCAGGGCCAGTCGCCGGCTTGCATCGCACCAACTAGGATCCTCACTGTCACCCCATTCCCCTTGTTGGTTGAAATCCTGGTCAAGTGTTTGTTGTGGACCAGGGGATGTGGTGGTTTGCCTTAATGCGAGTCCGGCCATGTCAGCCACCTCCTCTCTCCCTCTATTCTGTCGCCGATCTTGACTACGTCTTGGCGCGGGCCCCGTGCGCGGGAGGAGAGGGTGCAGCAGATTCTGCGAAAGTCTACTATCACAAAAAAACAAAGTCACGCGCGAGTCGCCGTGTCTGTTCTCACCCAGCTGTGGGGCACATGATGGATATCTTGGATCACGACGGTCGAACTGTCGTGTGCTCTCCAGCACTCCGTTATGGTTTTGTCCTAAACCCCTGTCGGTCTTCTTGATCCTCTATTTTAATGTTTAACATGTCTAGACACGAATGTGGATGAACTTTCAGAAGGCATCTGGCCTCCTCGTAGCCAGTCACGAACGTCCTCACACGGACAGTCCTGACTTGGGGTCGTCATGCTACTACTCGGCCAACTTAGATTCCAGCGACAATGGAAGCACGAGTCCGTCAACTGCGTCCGAAAACAGTTTATTGTGCGCAGGAAACCCTACGCCATATGAAACAAAAGTGGGCGTGTAGATATCTACACGTAGAAGGTCGCGTTCACCAGGTGACTGAAGACATCTTTGGACGTGCCCAGGAGACGGTGCAATAAGTCCGATTGGTAATATCATAAGTCATATTAAGAATGCAGGGGCATATTTCGGCAAATACGTACATACGGCAGGCTAGAACAGCGTGCCAAACATGTCGGCCTGGTTTTGCGATAATAATGAGAACCCTCCCCGCAACTGAACAAGCAAAGGAAATTATACATGGGCGGGGAAGTTGCGCCCTTTCAACTTCACCATAGTTGCTGGTGAAGTTGGCCGTTTTTGCCCGAATCTGTCGGATTTCTTACGGGGACGGAAGCGGTACTGTTCTACGATGCCGGCATTGTGTTGTCGTGTAACTTCCTTTTTTCAACTTTTCACGATAATGCACACTCAAAAAGTAGGATCAAGACAGACAGACGCTATTTTGGGGGAGGGGCGGGCGCATAGTGTACCCGCGACCACCACACACTTGACAAGACGGTCAGAGTCAACACCTACGCAAGTCCTTGGATGGATGCGTTAGGTCTGACCAGGATTCCACGATATGTCCTGGCAACCGGGATCTGCGCCTGATGTAGCCTGGTGGTAAGACGCGACAACTCGACAGGAACTCTCGCGAATCAGGTCAGCAATCCATACGTACAACAGGTTTGGGATAATTTGAAGAGGCAAACATGGTGATGGAGTTTCATCGACAATGAGGCTGGGGTCACCGGTTTTCATTAGCCAGTTATACCTCGATCCCGGGCAATCAAGACCTAAGACTTGCATGCGGGTCCGGCTGGTCATTACGCTCGGTGTTCTGTCAATTGAATCCGATGTGGAGGGGGGGGGAGAGTCTATCATACCATGCGAGTGTGGCTTACCGACCTGCCTTAAATCCAGGGCGAAACGAAGATCTCCAGCTTTAAGCAAAATTTCAATTAACGACGGATAAGCAGTAATCGGAAGGTACTATCGACACTAGGGAGTCCAGACCGGACTAATCATCCACAGTTCCTTGTAGTCGCCAACCAGCCGGATTGGGAAGGTCTACCACCTGCACTAGTTTGGCAGTTGAGCCAAAACTCACGCTCAGTCAACAGCAAAGTTTAAAACGACTTTCCAAAATCAGATCGCTCTCTCAGGCGGGTCTACTGAACAAGGGCCTTACACACGCAGTCCAAACATGTTGACGAACAGTGTCCCAAGGTGTCCGTTTGAATCTATTTTGTCATGTAAATATCACTCTGACCACGCCGCTGCCGTACAGAAATACAGAATAAAGGACCAAGATATTCAGTTCTAATCAATTGTTGGCGGATCGTGCAAACGAGGAGATTGTTCTGTAAAATAAAGGCGAAACATCGAGTTCTTGGTGTATGCATAAGTGAAGAAAAAGAGCCGAGCACAGGTACACTGTGTTTATTGTCCTGAGCTTTCAGACTCGTGCAAGAGTCCATCTTCATAGGTATTAGCAGCAGCAGCAGCAGCAGCAGCAGCAGCAGCAGCAGCAGCAGCAGCAGCAGCAGCAGCAGCAGCAGCAGCAGCAGCAGCAGCAGCAGCAGCAGCAGCAGCAGCAGCAGCAGCAGCAGCAGCAGCAGCAGCAGCAGCAGCAGCAGCAGCAGCAGCAGCCGCAGCAGCAGCAGCAGCAGCAGCAGCAGCAGCAGCAGCAGCAGCAGCAGCAGCAGCAGCAGCAGCAGCAGAACAAGCGACAGTCATATGGCGTGCAGGCCAATCATCGGCCGACTGCGCAAGACTCGAGCTGACTACGCAGGCTCTGTACGCCGGCACCAGATCGATAAATCGATTGACTGAGTTCTCATCCGAGGCCCAGGCTTCAATAAATTCTCGGCCTGTTTTGTTTCCGGCGTGTGCGATTATTTTGGTGGCTGCGAAGTAAAACTCGTGACCCATTTCGAAGGTGTGAGCTGCCACGAAATAGGTCACGAGTTTGACGTCGCAGCCACCACAATAATCGCCCGCGCCGGAAACAAAACAGGTCGAGAATTGATTGAAGCCTGGGCCTGGGATTAGAACTCTGTCAATCGAATCATCGATCTGGCGCCGGCGTACAGAGCCCCACGTAGTCACTTCCAGTCTTGCGCCGTCGGTCGATGATTGTGCCTACACGCTTCATAGCTGCCGCTTATTCCGTTTCTGCCACTACCTCTGACGATGGACTCATGTAAGTCTGAAAGCTAAGGACAATAAACGAGGTATTCCGGTGCTTGATCCCTCTTCTTCTTCACTTATGTTCTGAAAAAGGTTTATCCCCGAGAACCGTCTTACGGCATTTTCAGAGAGCGATCTCGTGATAAAATTCTGAACAAAGAAGAGACCAAATAGGCTTTTTTTGCTAAAAACCAAGGATATAAACGAGGCGATGAAGCAGGAGGTAACTGAACAAATGATAGTTCAGCTAGTGGGTCTTATGCATAGAGGTGTTCACAAATTGGACGAACTCAACTAGCCCTCCGAGTCCACAGCTTTTCGAACGCTACTGCCCTTGATCAAGACGAATTTGCTCTTCTTGGCGTCCACAATGAACTTGCGGTCAAGTTGAAATTCATAGTCGAAGGTGTGCGTTGTGTCCACACGCTCACCGTCCGGTGCTTCATAGAGGTCTGTCGGTAGGGGCGGAGTGGCATAAGGACCCGCAAAGCGGATTGGCAGATCACTGTTCGAGCCTAAACAGGGTTGAATGGCTGCCAGGTAAAGGCGGGGCGAAGTGTCGGATAGGAGGCGCAGGGCTCGCTTCTGGGCTGCCTGCACTGAGGCAAGTTTGGCTCGCTCTTGTCGCACCAGGGACCACTGATAGCGCGTCCAGTCCTTCATGAGGGTTGCTCGGCCGTCTGCCTCTGCGTCGGATAATTCAACCGAAGGTCGTCGACGTTCACTAGTGGGAGGAGAGAGAGAGATAGTGGTGAAGGGTGCGTAACTGAAGACCAGAATAACCTGTTGCGCGATAGATAAAATGTTCACTCACTAGGCACAGTCGGGGAATATTCTGTCTCCCGACTGTCACTTGAATCCAGTCATTTGTGAAGAGTCATGCAGCAGTGTTGTTATGATCTCAAGTCTGCCGTCTAGGCATCTGCGTGTTTTAATAAAACCGAGCCCAGTAATTTCCGCGATGGGTAGTCTGGACAGTTTTCTGGGTCAGTGGGAATAACTGGTGGAGGCTTTCAACAACTGATGGATATGCCTTCAGCAGGCGAACGACACTCGAATTACAGGGTGCGGAGAATGAAAGGGAATCTGAGATGCGCCTAAAGGGCAGCTCTGACAAAAAGGGCGAAATCGAAAGGTCAGAATCACGGATCCCCTTGGGAGAGTAGTGAAAAAAAAAACAGTGCCAGTGTTTCTAATAAATGAAGTATTTTGCTTGTCTGTATAGTTTCGATAACCGTTCTGCGGCAGTTTGATATTTCCGTTCATAACTTTTGATATGCCTACGTTGTCTGAGACAAATTGGGAGTTTGGAGGTACAACACATACATTTACTTCAAATAACCTGGACTGAACTGACAAGGATTGATGAAGACCTTCCGACAGTGGCTCGTCGGAGCCTATAAATGCACGAAGGCTAAGATTTGAGTGTCGGGAGGCCTCAGTTCGTCATACCCTCCGTTCATTGACGGACTGAATAGAGTTGGACAATAAGCTGGCCAAACGTACGAGGAATGAGCCAAGGCCACACTTGCTGTCCTCAAATTCAGTAGTGAGTAGTCGGTAATATAATATAATATGAAGGGCATCATTAGAGAGGAATTAGCCTGCAAGAGCGTAATGATGCGCAATCGAGGGCTCACAGACAGATATTGACTGAAAGGACAAAGCCAAAGGCATTAACTGATGTGGTGGCTGCAAGAGATAAGGTCCGATCCTTCCGAGACAAATAAAATGAGGGTGGATTGCATTAGCTTGGACGACGATACAGCTTATTTGCTGTTTGCCTAGTAGAAAGTTGGCTTAGAAATACGTCAGAGGACAAAGATGCGATCACCAAAATACGAGAATTACAAGCCTGCAGCTTCGGATTCTCAGTCGAACAAATCATTAGAGAGATTCGCAGATAAAGTTGACAGTGGCGCAATGAGTGCGGGATATATAGCCTGAGGCTGCCATGAGACCATATGCGCACCATAAATAACAGCTATCGCAATCACCGCTGGAGTCGTAATTGATGAGGTAGTGGCTTCTCAGACGGAGTCCGAGAGCTTAGTAAGAGTGCAGCATGCTGATGTAATGATTGCTAAGGAATTGGCACACTACCAGCGGCATAATCATTAAACAGCACCCTGCCAACTTGACTGATTTACCTGTTCAGGGAAAATCACACAAGGGATATCATTCGGCTCGTTGAGGAGCCAAGAATCAATACTCCCCCAGTTTATGAATTTAGAAGTCACAGTCACGAGAAACCAATAGAGTATTTTTAACCAACACGACCCCGTGACGCGGTGGCCGAGTGGTTAAGGCGATGAACTCCTACTCCATTGGGGTTTCCCCGCGTGAGTTCGAATCTCACCTGTGTCGTTATTTTACACAAATATTTGATTTCAAAAGCAACATTGTCTTGAGTACTAGTGCTCCTACTAGCAATACCATATCTTCTTTATGTCCAGTTAACTAGACGCCAATTCGGCACGAGTCTGATCCCTACTAAAGTGATAGAGGAATCCAAGCTAGCGTTAAAATACGCTATCGGCTTCACATAACTGTGTCGACATTCGAACATCGTATTATCACTATAGTAACACGAGGCGCCAGACAGATATGGTGGCAGAGCCAACGCTCGGGATACTACTACGAAAGTAAAATAATTGCCTTGAGTCGTTCTAACTTATGTACTTTCGGTTTCCCGTCTGTACCACCACGGCCGCATCTTACCTCACAATGTCTCCGCACGGAGGCACTGTAAGTAGGCCTTCATATAACTAAATGTATATATATCTTTAAAACCTGCTTATATTCACACTAAACTCCACACTGCTTTGCACAGTCACATATACTACTAAAGCGTCATACTTCAGTAGTATGATTTTTCACAGTTTGATTATTTGCACATCCGCGAAGATATCTTACTAACTGCTTTCTTTTCTTGTACGAACCCGCTTCCGATAAGGACAACCCTGCACAATATGTACTATGACGAAGCATGACTTATTGCACATACTCATTTCTATCTTCTTCACTTGGTACGTCTTCTACAACCATTAACTGGCGTTCAAGTGTCCTGACAATCCGCTTCGTTCGGAACTTCGCATTAATGCACGAAGGTCTGATATGGCAAAGGGGTGCTGTGACAATCTGTATCGGAAATGAGGCAGACAAAACTGACAAAATAAGGTGTCCCCGGGACGCAGGCCTGAGCCTATTACGGTTATAAGTAGCATAATCTAATGGGAATTTCGGCGGATAATGAATATAAGTTAACTACTACTATTGCTTTGCTACATGTAAAGGTGTAAAGAATTACTACCACTTCAGGTTATGAGTAAGGTCATCGTCGCAAGATATTAATGGAAATGAATTGCCTTGAGCTGGTGTTAACCAAGTCCTCTGACAATATCGACGTTGTTAATTGCCTCCCCCCGTTGGGTCAGAGTGACCATTTAGTTCTCATGTGGGAATACACCTTATTCTCCCTGCCTGCACAACCGCTCGATTCCCGGCCCAACACTGGCGCGGATATTTCGAAGAGATGAGAAGGGATCTAAGTCCTATCGACTGGGCATCCACTCTATTCGGCGATGTCGAAGAGGTTTGGTGTCAGTTCAAAGAGTTAGTCCACAACCTCATCTCCAACCATTGCCCAGTCATGCACAGAAGACTAACAAATAGACCCCGCTGGCTAACACCGTCCTTAAAGAAGGAGGTTTACAAGAAGAGGAAGCTGTGGAAAAGATCCCTGACTGACCGGACGCCAGAATCCCTAAGCAGTTATAAGTCTCAGAGAAATCGGGTTAAAGTTCTAATCGCTAGAGATCGGAAAGCCTTTGAAAAGGATCTTCTCAACCGTGCCAGGGTTAATCCCAAAGTCATCTACAGCTACATAAGACAGAGCACGCGGAATCAAGACCCCATCCCACTGCTGCGAACAGCCGAGGGAATGGAAATCTCCGATGACAAGGATAAGGCTGAACACCGATCCGTCGTGACAAGTGAACCTGATTTTCTCTCCCCCATTTGTGAAGACGAAGAAAAGCCTACCCTTGAAGCCATATTCTTTACCGAAGCAATTGTTCGGCACGAGTTACTTAATCTGAAAGAATCGACCTGCACAGGCCCTGATGCAATCCCCGCCAAGCTGCTGAAGGAGCTAGCTTCCGAAATGTCCAAGCCATTAGCCTTGATCTTCCAAACATCATTTCTTACTGGATGCCTACCCTCTGACTGGAAGTCCGCTACCAACACTCCGCTTTTTAAGAGCGGAAGTCGTGCATCTGCGAATACTAAAGGCCAGTGAGTCTTACCTCAATCTGTTGCAAAATCATGGAGAAGATCTTTAAGAAGGCCTTGATGCAGTTCCTCGAGCAGCACCACCTCCTCTCTGATGCACAACACGGCTTTCGAAGTGGTAGGTCCTGCCTCACGAATCTGCTCTTTACGCTCGAACGCTGGACCAAAGCACGCGATGAAGGTAGTGTGGTGCACGCCTTCTACATCGACTTTAAAAAGGCCTTCGACAGCGTTCCCCACCAACGTCTCTTGCACAAACTGCGCAACGCTGGAATTTGTGGACGCCTTCTTGTATGGATCCAGAGCTTTTAGGCTGGACGGTCCCAAAGAGCGCAGATGGGGCGTCAACAGTTCTCAGAGGTAAGCGTGGTGAGTGGCGTCATACAGGGCTCAGTACTAGGTCCCACGTTATTCCTCGTTTTCATTAATGACTGCGTCAAGGACTTAGA